TACCCTGCCACTTGTATTTTAAATAAACGCTGACTGTCCAGTAGCCAGGCAGGAAGTATAGGCAGGGCAACCAGGCAGGAAGTAGAGGTGGGACAATGAGAACAGGAGAATCCTGGGAAGAGTCAGTCTTCAGTCATCACCTAAATGGAGAGGAAACCAGACAAAGAGCAAGCAAAATGTGACTGCCTTGCCGAAAAAGGTAGTAAGCCATGTGGCTGACACAGACAAGTTTTATGGGCTTATATAAGTTATAAGAGTTAATAAGAAGCCTGAGCTAATAGATCAATCAGGTTTATAATTAAAGTAGACCTTTGTATATTTCTTTGGAGCTGAATGGCTGCAGAACCACACAAGTCAGAAACCTCTTTCAACAGAGAAATAAGAGAACTAACACATGTTATGACTTAAACGGAACTAACCAACATCTATAGAACATTCCATCCAAACATGAAAAGAATATATCATTTTCTCAGTACCTTATGGAACCTTCTCAAAAACTGACAACATACTAGGTGACAAAGAAAACCTCAAAGGATACAAAAAATTGTAATAACCCCATGTGTCTTATCCTTTGTTAGGGTTACTATTACTGTGATGAAACAGCAAGACCAAAGCAACCTGAGGAGGAAAGGTTTTTTTTTTTTGGCTTCTGCTTCCACATCACTGTTCATTATCAAATGAAGTAAGGACAGGAACTCAATCAGGGTAGGCAGGAGCTGATGCAAAGGCCATGGACTGGTACTGCTTATTGACTTCTTCATCATGGCTTGCTCAGCCTCTGTTCTTATAAAATTTAGCACCACCAATCCAGGGATGGGACCACCCACCATGGGCTGGTCCCTCCCCTATCAATCATACTTAAGAAAATGCTCTATAGCTGGATCTTATGGAGACATTTTATCAATTGAGGCTCCCTCCTCTCAGATGACTCTTAACTTGTTTCAATTTGACATAAAAATAGGAGCACACTTACTGAGGAAAACTTGTATAGTTAAGAGTATCAAATTACGTAAGCTAATGGTTCAGTTCCTGACTCAGTTGCAAACCCAAAGCATTTTTAAAATAAAATCTTATAGTGCAGTAGGAACTATTTTAAATATGTCTAGATTAATTTGTCTCAAATGAATAACATTATTTTCTAACTTTAGGTCATAACTTTTCTAGTATAAGAGAACATGAGTATACATAAAAATAAATTTACAAATAAAAGATATCTTAAGTCAAGGTAACCTAAGTGTTATGTATGACACCACAAACTAAAAAGACAATGTGACAATAAGCTTTACCTCATTACGGTCAAAATCACATGACTGCTTATGATGTAATTCGTTCAAAGGAGCATCACCCCTAGGAATTAATAAAAAATGTATTAAAGCATATTTCTTCTGACAGTTATTATTCTAAGTTTTAGTTTCAATCAGAATTATGTGAAAAGCTTCTTAAAAGTATGATTGACAAGTACTATGCCAAACTATTCATTTAATATGTATGTTAAATGTCTATATTTTCTATGTACCTGCATATTGTGTATGTACACAAGTGTGTGTACAAGCATGTGTGTGCACATGCAAATCAGAATAATGTGGGAATCTTCTTAAAAATATGGATTTGCGAGTACTCTGTCAAAATACTCATTTTAGTGTGTAGGTTAAATGTCTATATTTTCTATTTACTTGCATATTTGTGTATGAACATAAGTATTGTGCACAGCATGTGCATGCACAGGTGGATGCCAGAGTTCAACCTCAAGTGTTGTTCTTCAGGAGGCATCAGTGGGGAAAGCCAGCAGTCCACAGGCCCCGGAGATCCTCCTGTGGTCCTCACTACTCAGTGCTGGGATTAGCAGCGTGCACCAATGCACCTGGCTCTTTTACATAGTGCAGGAATCAAACTCAGGTCCTAGTGTTTGTGCACCGAATCATACTGAGTCAAATTCCCAGCCCTGAAACATCTATATTATAACACAATCGCTCCAAGGAATCTAAATCTACACTCAAGATTCAGAATCAGTTTTATCCCAGGCTTTTTCAGACCCAGGCCAGCTGGCCTTGGTGAGTTCCCGATAGAACATCCCCATTGTCTCAGTGTGTGGGTGCACCCCTTGCGGTCCTGAGTTCCTTGCTCGTGCTCTCTCTCCTTCTGCTCCTGATTTGGACCTTGAGATTTATGTCCGGTGCTCCAATGTGGGTCTCTGTCTCTGTCTCCTTTCATCGCCTGATGAAGGTTAATATTCAGGTAAAACCGGACTCTCTGAACATAGCGGACAATGAGGACTACTGAGAACTCAAGAACAATGGCAATGGGTTTCTGATCCTACTGCACGTACTGGCTTTGTGGGAGCCTAGGCAGTTTGGATGCTCAACTTACTAGACCTGGATGGAGGTGGGGGTTCCTTGGACTTCCCACAGGGCAGGGAACCCTGATTGCTCTTCGGGCTGGGGGGGGGGACTAATTGGGGGAGGGGAAGGGAAATGGGAGGCGGTGGCGGGGAAGAGACAGAAATCTTTAATAAATAAATAAATTTAAAAAAATTTTCAAAAAAAAAAGATTCAGAATCAGGTTCTTGTTTTCTTTTTCTGTTTTGTTATTGCTCTTTTGAAACATAGTGCCATGCATCCTAAGTCACTTTTTAAAAGCTGAATTTAAAACTCGAAGTCAAACAAAATGTTTTACTCATAAACTTCCAGATATTTGAGAAACAAGGAATTTAATTTCTCAATTTTAGAACTACATTATGTACCTGAGTTTTAATTAATAAATCCACTTCCATTAAAATGGCATGTTTTATTTCTTCTATCATGGATACTTTAAAGATTTCCATAAGCCAGGAGGTAGTGACACACACTTTTAATCCCAGCACTTAGGGGGCAGATGTAGGCAGATCTCTATGAGTTCGAGGCCAGCCTGGTCTACAAAGTGAATTCCAGAACAGCTCTCTGTGACACAGAGAAAACCTGCCTCAACCCCCAACCCCCAAAAAAGATATCCATAATAAATCAATTTTACAATAAAAATGTGAATAAGTAAATTTTAACTCATAAAGATCTGGCTAAATTATTATTACTAAGAAAAATAGGACTATTCAGGAACTATGAGCTAAAATAATGTTTCCCTCATTATCTATAATTTTGTAGGAAAGCCAGCAAGGGTATCCTCAAAACTCAAAGGAATAAACCATGTTTGTTGATCCAATTAAAACCCTTAAGACACAAAATATGTAGCAGTAGAAAGCTAGATCTGGTAATACATCGTTGTTTCCATGTAACAAAAAGCATAAAGATGATGAAATAAGGGACAGCAACCCTCAGCGCATCTATTCTGACACATACGGAAACTGTGGGAGGGGAATGCTAGCATGCAAGGGTGTAGAACACAAACTGTTGCATAGTGGAGATAGTCTTGTTTATACTGCCTCACTGAATTCTCATACTCCATGCTGATTCTATACTAAACAAGCAATAAGTGAGACAATATGCTGTTTGTGCTAATAAGTATTCTACCCATGTGATACGTCTATCTCTGTTATTCAATGAATTGCTATTTAGAAGATATATGGTGGATAGTCAACACTAAATGATCAGTTAAGGTCTTAGAGGCTGGAAACTGTGAACACCATAGGCTTAAGAAGTTGCTATTACACATAGTTAAAATAAAAAGTAAGACTTCTTTGAGACCAGTTTGCTCACCACACAACAAAACCATTATCATCTCATGTTCTATTTGCTCATTTGAATACATTTATTGTACTAGATCTTAAGTCAAAACTTACATAGAGCACATTGGGTATTCCCAGGTATTTCTCTGCACTGCTTTCTCTTGGTTATTACTTTCAATTTTTCCTTCAAATAAAAAACTGAATTAAATTTAGCAACATTTATTTTCATTTTTAGTTCAAAGCATATTAGAAGGATGCACAGAGGGAAATTGGTGGTCCATAAAATAATACTGTAACATGAGTCCCAAAGAAAATCACACAGAGGTCTCCATAAGATTATAAACTGATTGGCCCATTAGCTCAGGCTTCTTATTAACTCTTGTAACTTATATCAACCCATTATTCTTATCTATGTTAGCCACATGGCTCCGTACCTTTTTTCAGCGGGGCAGGTCACATCTTGCTTCTTAGGTGGTTGAGGCAGGACTCCCGAGGGAGCTTCCTTCTTCCCAGAATACTACTGTTCTCATTTTCCTGCCTCTACTTCCTGTCTAGCTACTGGCCAATCAGCATTTATTTAAAATGTAATTGACAAAATACAGACAATTCTTCCACACCATAATACAATAAAACATTCTAATTGTGACTTTATGCACCTCTAAGCATATTAAATATACTGTATATACATAATTGTACACACACACATATATACATACATATATATATATATATATATATATATTATATGTACTTTACATTTATCCCCTGGTATCTGATAGGAATTGGTTCTAAACCTTCCCCACTACTCATTATCCCCACAGCCACTGAAATCCCTTGAAACACCAGTATCTTGCATTAAATGGCTCAATCTGCTGAGATAATGCATATACTCTCATATTCTTTATATAATCTCCAGGTGACTTAGACTATCTGATACAATGGAATGCTTTTTATAGAAAGTTGTTTGTTTGTGTGTGCGCTCGCGCGTGCGCACATGCATATGCATTCACATATGCAGTGTGTGGGTGGAAGTCAGAGAACAATGCTCAGGAGTTGGTTCTCTCCTTTGACCTTGGAATCCAGGATTAAACTCAGGTCAGGAATAAGCCATCTCGCCAACTCTGAGGATGATGTTAGTAAATAGCATAAATACTCTACTGGTTATGGAATAATGATAAAAATGTCTGTCTGTATGTGTTCAGCCAAGACATCTTAGATTTTATATAGTTAGTTGAATCTAAAAATATAGAACATTTGGATATGGAGAGCCAACTATATGTGTATAATTAAATGAAACATGGTAATACATATTTATACAGAGAGAAACTAAGTGTGCAATACCAACCTTTTCTTCCACAGCTGGTTAGGTGACAGTCTTTCTCAAAAGAGCTTCTAAATTCATTTATTTCACTATCGCTGTACTCCTTCTGGTAGGGCTTCGTTGCCTGACATGTTCCTAAGTAACTTGTACTAAGTGGAGGACTATAAGAAGCTGTCCGAGGAACTGTCAAATCTCCATTAATGCACCCACCAGTGTAATGGCTTTCATCAGAAAAATCTACACAGGAGTCACTCAAACTACCAGAGCCACACTTGTGAAAGGCTGACATTCTCCCCGGCTGATCTCTGCTTAGTAAATTGATCATATTGGGACTCACAAAGGAGTCCATGTCGTGATTGGATGATGGATGTCTCCAAGTTGGCGGGATCACATGTTCTAAAAAATTAGAGAATGCTTTCCCATCATTCCTCCAAATCTGTTGCACCGCTGTTTTTTCCATAGCAAAGTCTGGTTGTCTTCGTTCACACAGGCTTCCACAATCTTCACCCATGAACACAGATCTTTTAGTAAGGAAAGCACCAGTTTCTGGACTTTGGAATAAATAGAATCATAATTAGCAGGAAAGGTTTGATCATTTTCATTTACAAACACTAGCTTAAATTGAAAACTAACAAGAGTTTACTGAAGAATGACTAGCATTTTCCCAAATGCATTTTAAATTTACTATTTAAAAATACAAATAATAATATTTTAGTGGAAATTTATTTAATATATTCTAATAATAAACTTGAAAATAATTTATACATGGTTCTGTATTTCAATGTGAAATTTAGTGCACAGTTTTATTTATTGTTATATTAGTGAAAAAATAACATGATACTCAATAGTCTGATTTCTACAGTACAGTCTAGCAAATAACCTAGTGTACCACTGTCTGCTGCTGCTGTTAGTCAAGCAGAGAAAAAAAGTCTGAAGACTAGAGGGAGGAAGCTATCTCATGTAAAAATATTTTTTATAGAGTTATAAAAACATTATCAAAGATATATTCCAATTTAATAATTGGGATAGTTACAAAGTTCTCGATGAAGAAAAGCCAGAAAAGTTTTCTACCATTATAAATGGGGGAATAACCATAGAACATATCATAAGTTATAAAGCACACTATATGTTGAAATCGTATTTTATAATTTGTTCCCAGCACTATAACCAAAGAGTTACTAAGACATGTATAAAACAGAAGCAGGCACTCCCAGAAGACCTGTAATACAGTAAGGAAGGGAAAACAAAGATCACAGAACTGTTATCCTGGAGTCCAAGGCTAATGTAAAAAACAAAGAGTCTTCTACTCTAAGAAAATCATTAAGGGGCATCATCTAATGTGAGGGACCTCTTCAACAAACATTTCCGGGAAATTCAGTGTCTACTTGCAGAAGATTAAAACTTCAATGCTACTTCTCAGCTTCTAGAAAAATCAACTCACAACTGAACGAAGAACATATTAGAGAATATGCCAAGATACTAGCAATGGTTTTCTGGGCATTGCCATAAAGCACAGGAAACATAATAAATATTGACAAATGGTTTGTAGAAACTAAACAATAAAGAGAGTGTGGAGATAACCTACAGGATGTGAGGAAATATTTTCCCATTATTAATCTGTTAGAATCCTCCCTAAAGTCCACATAATCAAATTTTAAAATGAGAAATTAGGCTTGAGAAAAGTCTCAGCAGTTAAGACAATGGCTGTCCAGACCCGAGTTTGATTTCTAGCACTTTGGTGGCTCACAGCCATCTATAACTGTCATCCCAAGTGATCCAGCATCCTCTTCTGGCCTCCTTCTGGCACCAGGCATACATGTAGGGCACAGACATACATGCAGACACAACATTTATGCACACTGGATGAAATAATTTTAAAAATTTTTTAAATGAGCAAATTATTTAAATAGATGCTTCTCAAAAGCATAAACATGACTAAAATATATGAGAACACACACTCAGCATGATTAACCCTCAGGGAAATGCAAAGTGAGGCCTCAATGAGATACCATCCATGCCAGTTACAATGGCTTCTTCTAAAAAAGAAAGTATAAACAAAAAATAAACAAATGCTGACCAGGAGATAAGCAGGAATTCTTACACATGTATGGAAATATAAACTAAAAATAGCATTGCTACTATAAAAGAACAGCATTAAGGTCCCGCAAAAGCTGCAAATGTAGCAGATGATCAAGCCAATTTTCTCCTTGGTATCTCTTCAAAGAAATGAAATCAGCATACCCACAGTGCAGCTGCACAGCCACATATATATTGTAGCACTGTTCACTACATGAAGACATGAAATCAGGCTGCACGCCCATCAGCAGATGAATAGTTTAAAAATGCAGGATATCTGTCTAGAGTAGTATTTAGCATTAAAAAGGATGAAATCCTGTTGGTTATATCAAAACAGATAAAACTAGAAAAGATTTTGTTACGTGACAAACCCAGAAGGAGAAGGGAAAATTGATGGAGGAAGGTCATTGGCGAATAAAGGAACTGTCCTGGCCCATTTTATTGGTTAGAGGATAGGTGGGAGGAGTAAACAGAACAGAACGCTGGGAGGAAGAGGAAGTGAGCTCAGAGACTACACAGCTCTCTGGGGAGCAGACGCCTCAGAGAGAGACGCCATGCCCTGCTCCCGGGATGAAGCTCTGACCCAGGATGGACTAGGCTGGAATCTCCCCGGTAAGCGCACCTTGGGGTGCTACATACAGATGATTAGAGGTGGGCTAAATTAATATGTGAGAATTAGCCTAGAAGAGAATGGGCCAGGCAGTGTTTAAAAGAATACAGTTTCCATGTAATTATTTCGGGTAAAGCTTGCTGGGTGGCGGGACACAGCCCGCCGCTCCGTATTTCAACAGAAAATATTCTTTCTCATATATAGATATAGAAATATTCTTTCTCATATGTCGATGCTATAAAACTATACTTTAGACTAGAAGAATGATTCCTAAAAGCTGGGAGAGACGTGGACTGCAGTGAGTGGGAGAGGCTGGAACTGATATGTCCACACAATATTCACATACAGAACTAGCACCCTGAAATTTGCTAGTATACACGGTATGTTAGTGTTTAAAAGGACAAAATTAAACTAACAAAAGGATGTGTTTCATTATAATGGTCTTTTTCTAGAATAGTACTTATATCTTCAACTAAAAAGATTTAAGTCCTTCTAAGAGCAATGTACTGATGCAGAGCCCAGCACTCTGTCCTTTCCTTCCACATTCTACTCACCCGTTTGTTCTCTCAGATGATTCTCCAAACTCTGCTCTTTTCTGAGATGAACTGAAAATATCTTGATGCTTATTTAATTTGTAAAATAAGGAATCAGAAAAATCTCCGTTACTGAACTAAAAAAAGGAAGAAAATAACAAAACAATATGTACATGTTTATAATTTAAATTGTATTTACCTGTTTGCAGATAATTGCTAACTAATGTGTAATTATAACATGTATAGTCAAGAAGATGAATACTTAAGTATGTGTCATATAATGTTTTGTTTTCTATTCTACAAAGTAAATAATAGAATATAGAGTTTAAGCTGTATAAACAAAATTTTGTCTCTAAGATATAGGTGGATTCTCTAGGTGAATTCTCTCAGCCCTCCTTCTCATCCCTCTGTGGTCAGTTGACAATACCAAGAAACATCTCTACCTGGACCTCAGATGGCCAACCTGGCTGGGACTCAGGTAGTTGATTTTGACTTTGACTCTCCATCTGATCTCCCATTCCAATCTCTCCAATCTCATTCCTAGCCTTGTAGCAATTGCTTTCAGGTGCCTCTCCTCCCACCTCAGCTTCATTCACTGTAGACGCCAACTCCTGGTCCAGACACAGAGTCCCCCTAGCTCTTTCATTTTTGTTTCTCTACATGACTTCACTGCAGCCTACTTTCCATCACACCTTCACTTCTCTGGGGACCCATCTTTGACAGCATTCTCTCGGTTCTTCCCATATCCGCACTCAGCCTTTTCTCCTAGCCCATTTCTATTCCTCTCTGCCACTCGCTGACCTGCAGGAGCACTCTCTCCAGACAACAACAGTCAACACATATTCCTAATATCCAGAAAAGGTAACAGAAACCATGGAGCAGAACAACCACACATCACCCCATAACAAGACCAGGTAACGACACCTAGAAAAACCTCTGTTCTCCCAGCTCTAGCTGCCTGGACACCTGTACAAAAAAAAAAAAAAAAAAAACTAAAGACAATATGTCATCTCCAGAACGCAGTAAGCTTTCTATAGTAAGTCCTGAGAAATGCAATACAGCTAAAGCCCAAGAAAAGAGCTTCAAAATGGCAAGTATGAATATGTTCAAGGATGAATAAATAAATGACTTAAGACCATAAAACCATATACCAACAATGAATGAAATGTTGGGAACAAGACATCAATGTAGAAACAGAAACACTAAATAAAACCCAAACTTGCATAAAACTGAAAATGGGAATTTAGGAATCTAAAGAAAAACATCACAGGTAAGCTTCATCAGCAGAGTACGAGACATGGGAGAGCAGCACTGAAGAAAAGGGAGAAGAAATGGATCTCAGTTAAAGAAAACTTTGAATCTGAAAAAATCCAGGCACAAAACACCCAAGAAAAATGGAAGACTGAAAATACCAAACATATGAATAAAAAGAATAGAGGAAAAAGATCCCCAGTTTAAAGGCACAAAAAATATTTTCAACAAAATCATAAAAGAAATTTTTTTCTAACCTAAAGAAGGAGGTGCCTATCAAGGTACAGGAAGCAAACAGAACATAAAGTAGTACCAGAAAAAAAAACTCTCCATAACACATAATAATCATAACACTAAATGTATGGAGCAAAGAAAGACTATTAAAAGCTATGAAAAAACAATGTAACATATAATGTCAGATCCATTAGAATAACATCTGACTTCTCAATAGAGACTCTAAAGCCAGAAGGGCCTGAATAACTCTAGGAACCACACTGATCAGTCCAGAAGAGTATTCTCAGCAAAACCATCGATCATAATAGATGAAGAAGAACATTCCTAATTATTTTATTCCAGAATTAAAAACATAATGAAAACAAAGTTAAGTAGTATCTACTATGTACCAATACATCTCTACAGAAGGCAGTAAAGAAAAACTTCAATCTGAAGAGGTTAACTACACTCAAGAAAACACAAGGACTAAAAACTCCCAAACCACTAAATCAAAACAGGGAAATTAACACTAAACCAACAAAATAATCATAATCGATAAGCACAGGTCATTGATAATTCTGAATATTAAAGATTTCCTTCTCTAATATAAAAACACATCCTAAAAGATTGGATTAGAAAACATCTTTAGGTACATCCAAGAAACACATCACGAAGTGTAGAAAATACTTCAGGGTAAGAGGACTGAGAAAGATATTCCAAGCAAATGGACCCAAGAGAAGTAAGCAGATACAGCCATTTTAATATCTGAAAAAATAAACTTCAACTCAAAAATAATCAGAAGAGATAGGGAAGAACACTACATACTCATCAAAAAAAGGGTAACATCTATACACCAAATATGAGGGCATCCAAGTTCACACACACACACACACACACACACACACACACACAAATCATCACTACAGGCTAAATTACATATTGACCCTTATATATTGATGATAGTAGGAAACTTGAATACCACACTCTTGCAAATAGGTCATTCAGATAAAACTAAACACACGACTTAGAAAATATGAGACTTAGAAGGTCATTAAATCATATTAGACTTAGAAAGTCATTAAATCATAACAAAAGATTCTCAGTACCTCATGAAACTTTCTCCAAAACTGACCACATACTTGGACATAAGTCTCAACAGATATAAGAAAATTGAAACAAAACAACCTGTTTTGATAACAGAGCATCATGGATTAAAGTTGAATATCAATAGCAAAAACAACAGAAAGTATACAAACTCATGGAAACTAAAAAACTCATTAATGAATGAAAACTATATCAAGACAGAAATTAAGAAAGAAATTAAAAACTTTCTAGAATTAAATGAAATTAATTAAATGAAAATAAAAACACAACATACCCAAACTTACAGGACACACAATGAAGGCAAGTTCATAGTACAAAGTTCTTAAATTAAAAAGAAATAAACAGAGTGAAATCGTGTTATCAACTTAACAACACCTGAAAGCTTTAGAATAAAAAGAAGAAATAACGCTTAAAAGGAATAAATGGCAAGAAGTAATCAAACTCAGGGCTGAAGTCAATAGGAGAAACAGAACAAACTATACAAAGAATCAATGAAATGATGAATTGGTTCTTTGAGAAAAATCAGTATGATTGGTAAACCCCTAGCCAAATTAATCAAAAAATAGAGAGAGAAGATTAAATTAATAAAATTGGAGACATCACTACAGACACCAAATAAATCTAGAGAATTCTAAGGACATACTCTGTGCTCCATCAAACTGGAAAGCCTAAAAAAATAAAACAATAAATTCCTTAATATATTCACTCTAACAAAGTTAAACCAAGATCAGATCATTGATCTATACATACTGATAAAGCCTGAATAATAAAGAACTGTTGGAGGTATCACCCTTCCTCATTTCAAGCTGTACAACAGTATGGTGCTGGCATAAAAAGAGACATGTTGATCAATGAAATTGAACTGGAGACCCAGACAGAAGCCAACACACATATAGGTACCTGTTTTTGTTTTGTTTTATAAAAATGTCAAAAAAAAATACATGTTGGAGAAAAGACATCTTCAACAAATGATGCTGGTCAATCGGGATGACTACATTTAGTAGAATAGAAATGGATCCATATTTCGATCAAGGACCTCAACATAAGGACAGATAACACTGAATCTGATACTAGAGAAAGTGTGAAATAGTTTTGAACTCATTGACAAAGGAAGGAATTTCTGAAGAGGACACCAAAAACACAGGCACTAAGAAAAACCAATAATGGGACCTCAGGAAACTGAGAAGCTTCTGTATGACAAAGGACACCATTACCTGGAATAATGCCAGGCTACAGAATAGGAAAAGAGATTTTTACAATTACTCGTCTGATAAAAGGTTAATATCTAAAATGTATAAAGAACTCAAAAAATTGGACATCAAGAAAAATATAACCCAATTAAAAAGGGGTACAGAACTAAACAGAGTTTGCAAAAGATGAGAAACAAATCACTGAGAAACATTTAAAGAAATGTTCAACATCTTTAGTCATCAAAGAAATAAAAATCAAAACATCTTATACTAGTCAGAATTGCCAGATTAATAAAACAAAGGACAGCTAAGGCTGGTAAGGGTGTAGGAAAAGGGGAATACATATTCATTGCTACTGGGAATACAAACTAGTACAGCCACTATGGAAATCAGTGAGGTGGTTCCTCAGAAAGGTGGGAATAGATCTATTTCAAGATCCAGCTATACCACCCTTGGGCATATACCCTAAGACTGTACATCCTTCCATAGGGACACTTACTCATCCATGTTCATTGCTGTGTTGTTGATAATAACCATAGATTAGAAATAACATCATTTAGCTGATGAACAGATAAAGAAAATGTGGTACATTTACACAATGGAATACTATTTGACTCTTTACAAACATGAAATATAAAATTCACAGGTTAATGGATGAAGCTAGAAAAACATCCTGAATAAGATAACCCAGATACACAAAAAAATATTTTATGTATTATTTTATTATGTGGATGTCAGAGTTTAAGACTTTGATAGGAATGCTATAATCCATATAACCACAGAGTTAGGTGTAAAGTAAGGGACTGTGGGGAGAGGAGGATCTCACAAGGAAAGGAAAATGGAGTGCATAGTTAAAGAGAGACGGGAGAGACCTGAATGGGAGGTTAAAATGAGGAGGAGGGATAGGCATAAGGTGAAATATTATCCTTCATTTATCACCATAAATTTGAAACCCATCTAAGTCAAATTTATGAAAAGGAGAACCTGTTATGGAAATATGACATCAAAGAAGTAATAATCCCAATGTACCTGCTCATTTTGCTTTATTTCAGATGCAAATTTCCAAGGATTTGGTGCTGTCCTTGGGGTGGAGTTTTGGTGTGGAGTATGTTTGTTAGACAGTAATTCCACTGGAAGAGAGGGTGGAATACAACTGTAGTTTTCTGGTTTTTTCAACATTCTGTATGAGTTCATGTTTTGTGATGACTGTAGGAAAAGAAAAAGCAAGATCACAAAAAGTACAGAAACTAGAAGTCAAAATAATAGAACTAAAATTAGGAGAAAAGGGGCATGACTCCAAAAGAGGAAGTCCTATGGAAAGGCAGGTCATTGGTACTTCAGAGGAGTCCTGGAGGTCAGTGTCTACTTCAGAATGCCTCCCTCTGCTTTCCCGATCTGCCTTCTTCTCTCAAGCTCCTTTCCTGAATGTCACTTCTAATGACATAAAATCTTAGTTTCTCTAACCCATAAATCAGATGACAGGATGTCCAAGATATTTTATTACTATCATCAGCTTCCATTGCCTTTCTGATCTAGTTTAAACCTGACAATTCAAAGATAAAGAAGAATAATTAATATAGCATTGGGCGTTAAATAGAATTGCAAGTTTTAACCAACCTGTGTACTTTCTAATTCATTATGATTTTGTCTGCAAAAAATGTTATGCTTTTAAAAATTACCTTGTGATAAACATGAATTCTTAACATCATATAAATATAAATTGATAGAAATAATATTTCCATTACATTTGAACAAATGAACTGATCAGTAAATGTGTGAACATAACGAAAGACTCCCTCAGTGAGAGGTGGAGAAGGCTCTATCTGTAAACTGCTTGCTAGGCAAGTATAAGGACCAAGTTTGACTCCCCAAAACCTACATATCAATGCACATTTGCAATCCCAGTGATGGAGAGGGAAGAAGCAGGCCAATTCTTAGGGCTCACTAGACTTGCTGACCAGTTAGTATGACTGAATCAACCAGCTCTAGTTGCAGAGAGACCTTGTCTCAAAAAAGAAGTTGGAGAGTGAGTTACCTCTGATCTCCCATGCACACATACATATGCAACTACCTACTCACCAATGAACACACACACAAATAAATACTTAAAAATAATCTCTATATAAATTGTGCCTTGTAACTAACTCTTTGATAACTAGAAGAACCAAGTCTGAAGCATACAAGGCCAACCACATTTCTATTGCTCCAAGGAAACTTCATAATCAGAGTATTCTTTAGGAGTAAATTTCCTATATGTGAAAACTGCAAAAGGAATCACTCAGAAACTATAAAATAGTTAAAGGCTAACTAATTTTGTCTAGTATTTTAACAGTAAGATCATCTAAGGGCTGGGAACAATTGTTAAAACAACTTACAATTTTCTTTAAAACTCACCTGACCTGGGTCAGTTCCTTCTGTGTGACATAATCTTTGATAGGGTACACTAAAGAAAACAAAAAAAAATCAAGCATCCATAAAATATATCTTCTGTATATTAAAGTTTCTCAGTGTCTACACAAGCACTCAACATAGAAAACTCTATGTAAATTATGTAAAAGTAAGTTTTAAGGAAAATATATTAAACTAGGATAGACATTTTCTTTACTTTTTTAAAAAAATACTTACTATATTTCAATCATTGGTGGTTTTGCCTGTGTGCTATGTCTGTATGAAGGTGTTGGATCCCCTGGAACTGGAGTTATAGACAGTTGTGAGCTGTCATGTGGGTGATAGGAATTGAACCCAGGTTCTCTGGAAGAGCAACTGGTGTTCCCAACCACTGAGCCACATTCCCAGTCCCTGGCATTTTCTAATATAGAAAGTCAAATCACATGCACAAAACTCCATAAACGCATGTCCTAATGATTTTATAATATCATTAGACAAACAAGAACAGGAACTGGAAGGTAATGTCCTTCTCAATTTCCCAGCAAACACACCAGTTGATAGTTAACTTCTCTCAGTTAGTCACTGTCTTAGGTAGCACTTACTTAGTCCCCATGTCATCGATGCACAGTTTGGAAGGTACACAATGAGGTGACATTGGAAGGTCTAACACATGCTTTCTTAGTGGAATTTTCCAGTCTCTATTCATATTCACATGTGTTGGTCTTTTCATGGTTTCTATAATAAAAAAAATGTTAAATAATAACTTTGAAATAGAAGCTTTAAAATCTTTTGCTATATCATTCAATTGATCGTGCATTTGAAAATGTTCTTCTAAAACATGTTCTTTACATGTAATTACAGAAACTGACTGCTAACCACTATTAATGAAATCTAATTTTTCCTACTGCATTTTAGCCATCTATAAAGGGGCTCTACTAACCCAACACAATGTCCTCTTTCTGATCAATAGACTGTCTCAGCACAGCACTCTATGTTTTCTCTGTCTCAGCACTTTGCACATTTTATTACACTTGATCAACCCTATCACCATCAATAGACTGTAAACTTCTGAGCAATGCTTCTTAACCGTGGGTCATTACCCTTTGGGGGTCAGGCGGCCCTTTGGCAGCTGTCTCTTAGACTACTGGAAAGCACAGATATTTACATTATGATTCAAAACAGTAAAAATTACAGTTACAACTTAGCAATGAAATAACTTTATGATTGGGGTCGCCACAACATGAGGAATTGTATCAAATCGCAGCATTGGGGGCTGCAGCATTATGAAGGTTGAGAACCACTGTTTTAGAGGAAGGAGTCTCGTATCATTTTATGAAGTAAGATCACTGTTTTATTTGCTCAGTACCCAGCCCACCTACCAAGTTCTAGTGAGAATGTTCTCTCTTTGTGTACAACAGTTCAGAGGTAGCCATTTGGGCAAAGAAAAATGATTCATAGACTTCTGTCCCTCTGACCCAGTGCAACTGAGCAATTACTGGAGTCCAGCAGTAGCAAAAAGTATCTTCTAGCAGAACTTGAAAATTTGGAATGAAACAACCCATAGTCTTTCTCCTGAGGGAACTGGGCATGAGAAATAGTGGTTTCTTAAGACCAGCTTTTAAATGTTCATGATGAAGACAATCTTCATGAGGTATGGTGATATTTTGTTTGTGCTATAACAAATAGAGCTGCCTGAGGATCAGGGTGTGGAGCTAGCCACTAATTAGTCATAGAGGCCAGGCAATGGTGGCACAGGCCTTTAATCTCAACACTCAGGAGGCAGAGGCAGATAGATCGCTGTGAGTTCAAGAACACTCTGTGCTACAGTAGATTGATCCAGTCTCAAAGAGAAAACAGAGCTAGGCAGTGGTGGCTCACACCTTTAATCCCAGTACTTGGAAGATACATGTGTTTAATCCCAGCAATAGGGAGATGGAGACAGGGAGAGATATGGCTGGGCAGAGAGAAGAATATAGGGCAGAAGGAGATAGGAGCTGACCACACTGAACCTGATAGAAGATAAAGTGGAAAGTAGCCTGCAATACATGGACACAGGAGACCACTTCCTATGTATAACCCCAATAGCACAGACAGTGAGAGCAACAATGAATAAATGGGACCTCCTGAAACTGAGAAGCTTCTGTAAAGCAAAGGACACAGTCAATAAGACAAAAAGGCAACCTATTGAATGGGAGAAGATCTTCGCCAACCCCACATCAGACAAAGGTCTGATCTCCAAAATGTATAAAGAACTCAAGAAACTAGACATTAAAATTATAAATAACCCAATTAAAAAATGGGGTACTGAACTGAACAGAGAACTCTCAACAGAAGAATTTCAAATGGCCAAAAGATACTTAAGGTCATGCTAAACTTCCTTAGAGATCAGGGAAATGCAAATCAAAACAACTTTGAGATACCATCTTACACCTGTCAGAATGGCTAAAATAAAAAGCACCAATGATAACCTGTGCTGGAGAGGATGTGGAGTAAGGGGAACACTCATCCATTGCTGGTGGGAATGCAAACTTGTGCAACCACTTTGGAAATCAGTATGGCAGATTCTCAGAAAATTGGGAGTCAACCTACCTCAAGATCCAGCAATACCACTCTTGGGAATATACCAAGAGATGCCCAATCATACTACAAAAGTATTTGTGCAACTATGTTTATAGAAGCATTATTTGTATTAGCCAGAACCTGGAAACAACCAAGATGCCCCTTAATGGAAGAATGGATAAAGAAAGCATGGCACACATACACATTAGAGTATTACTCAGCAGTAAAACACAATGACATCTTGAATTTTGCATGCAAATGAATGGAAATAGAAAATCCTATCCTGAGTGAGATAACCCAGACCCAAAAATATGAATATGATATGTACTCACTCATTAGTGGATTCTAGACATAAACAAAGGACATTGAGCCTATAGTTAGAGATCCTAGAGAAGCTAAATAATAAGGTGAACCCAAAGAAAAACACATATAGATCCTCCTGGAAATTGGAAGCAGACAAGATTGCCAGGCAAAAGTTGGGAACATGGGGGTGGGGGTGGGGAAGGGGGAAAGGGAGAGGGGGAGAGAAGAGAGAAGGGGAGGATTGGGGAGAGCTTGGGGGAGCAGGATGGTTGAGATGGAGGAAGGGCAGATATAGGAGCAGGGAAGAAGATATTTTAATTAAGGGAGCCATTTTAGTGTTGGCAAGAGATTTGGCTCTATAGGGGTTCCCAGGTATCCACGGGGATGTCCCCAGCTAGGTCCTTGGGCAGTAGAGGAAAGGGTACCTGAACTGGCCTTGTCCCATAGTCACACTGATAAATATCTTGAGTATCACCATAGAACCTTTGTCCGGCAATGGATGGAGATAGAGACAGAGACCCACATTGGAGCACTGGACTGAGCTCTCAAGGTCCAGTTGAAGAGCAGAAAGAGGGAGAAGATGAGCAAGGAAGTCAGGACTGCAAGGGGTTCATCCACCCACTGAGACGGTGTGAATGATTTAAAGGGAGCTCACCAAGGCCAGCTGGACTGGGACTGAATGAGCATGTGATCAAACTGGACTCTCTGTGGCTGACAATGGGGGCTGACTGAGAAGCCAATGATAATGGCACTGGGATTTGTCTCTACTGCATGTACTGGCTTTTGGGGATCCTAGTCTGTTTGGATGCACACCTTCCTAGGCCTGGATGGAGGGGAAGGGCCTTGGACTTCCCACAGGGCAGGGTACCCTGCCTTCTCTTAGGACTGGAGGGAGAGAGGGGAGGGTGAGTGGGGAAGTGGGAGGGAAACGGAAGGAGGGGAAGAAGTGGAAATTTTGAATGGTACTATTTATAAAGCAATAAAAATTTAAAAAACTGCTATTCTTTCTGTATAAATTTCCTAAGTAATATGAGATAATAATAACACATTCATTATTTTTTCTCAAGCTAAACTTGAAACTATTTGCCTAGAAATAATAATATTATAAAACTCCATGACAAATTAATGATATCAAACAAGTTAATCTTGTGTAATACATACAGCCTAAAATTAAAATAAATAGATAAAACAATAAAAGATCTTAATTCAAATATTAGTTAAGCTTATAATTTTAAAAGGCAATAAAGTTTTAAGATAAATTTTCCATATGCTTTGAGTTCTGGAATCTCCAACCAATTAGACAACTTACATTATTATGAATTACCACATGAAGACAAAATTACAGGCCTTCGAAAGACTTACCAGGTGTTTTCTTCTTGGACGCTATCTGATTTACCATGTACAGGTTAAGAAGGTCTAAACTGGCAGTGGGGTTCTTGACAGGTGGACAAACTCCTAGAGATTTAATTTTTGATTTTAACTTATTCTTTTCAAAGTACTCCTGAAATAATTAAGAATTAAAAATATTAATTTCCCAACATAACATTTCAAGGCAGAATCATATAAAAAAAAAACCACTGAAGTCACTATGCCACTGACTTCATGTGTCACACTTGTGACACAGCATGGGAACGGAAATCAATAATAATAGCTTGTAGCTTAGCTAAAGACTTTAAATCTTGCAGGTAAAATTTTTTCTGAAACAAATAACATATTCCCCTATATTTAAGAAAACTCAAAAGATATAGCAAGTGCCTACTGAAAGACGAAGGAGGGGCAGTGAGACAGCACAGAGACCAAAGCCTGAGGACCTGAGTTCTGTGCCCTGACCCTTAGTAAAAGAGAGCCAAGTCTTCTTTTGAAAGTTGGTTTTTGACCTCTACAGACATGCTATGATACATGTGCATCCCATCCCCACTTGCACATGCACACATACACACACATGTGTGCACATATACACACATTAATAATAATAATAAAATTGTACAACCAACTAAGAGGAAAGCGAAATCTACGTAAGAACGAATTAGCAACCAATGCCAATTTAACTCACTGTATCACAACTGCTTAAGGTTGTCCATAAACCAGACTTACGTATATATATTATCCAGTTTATATTTCCTTCCTGAATTTCTGAACTATAATTATTCTTCATTCTTTAGTTACATCCTCCACTTACTTAGTTCAAAGACATTTTAATTTTTAAAAAGTATTTATTTTTAATTGTGAGGGAGCACATATGTGAGTGAGTGTACCCGTGGGGTCCATAAGATTGTTGTGGATCTGCTGGAGCTGGAGTTGCAGGCTGTTGTGGGCCATATGATATGGGTGCCCGAGCCAAATTCAGATCCTATAAGGGAGTTCATGCTCTGAAACACTGAACCACATCTCCAGCCTTCTTTATCAACATAATGAGCATCACTATTCCGTTTTCATAAAGATTCTAGGTTTCTTGATTGTTCCCTTCACCCCCTCCTCTTCAGACACCATCCCCACTCTTGCAGGTTCAATACAGGAAAGAGGACATGCAGTATTTGTCTTTCCAAGTCTAGCTTATTTTCACTTAATTATTTTCAGCTCCACTTCTTCCCTGTAAATGTCATGATTTCATTCTTCTTTATAGCTAAATAGACTCCCATGTGTATATTTTCTTTATCCATTCTTCAGATGATTGTGTACATGCAGGCTAGTCCCATTCTGAGCTATCATGAATAGTATAGCTATAAACATGACTGTGTAAGTGTCTCTGTGATACGGGAATTCAGTGGTGTTCAACCTGGGAGTTGCAACTCCGCTGGGCTCACAGGGGTCACCTAAGACCATGGGAAAGCACAGATATTTACATTATGATTCCTAACAGTAGCAAAATTACAATTAAGAAGTAGCAACAAAAATAATTTTATAGTTATGGGTCACCCCAACATGAGGGACAGTATCAAAGGGTTGCAGCATTAGAAAACTTGAAAAGCACTGCATTAAGAGCCCTTTAAATATATATCCAAAAATGATATCATTGGGCCTTGTGGTAGTTCTAGTTTTTTGAGTAACCTTCACACTGAGTTCCATAGTGACTAAACTCCCATCTACTGGCATATGGGATACTTTTTTCCTGTATCCTGGCAAACATTTGTATTAGTTTTCTTGATGCAAGTCCTTCTGACTGGGATGAGATGAATAGATTTTTTCAGTGCTTTTGAGACAGGGTCTCACTCTGTATCTTAGGCTAGCTACAACTCATTATTCATCCCAGCCTGGGCTTTGAATTCATAACAATCCTGAGCAAACCTTCTGAATACTGACATTGCAAAGATGTGTCTCCAAACGAGCTGAGGTGGAATCTTAAAGTGCTTTGGATTTGTATTTCCCCGATAGTTAAGATTGCTGAACATTGTTTTCAAGAGTCTACTGACCACATATTTCGTCTTTTGAAAACTGTTTATCCAATTCATTATTCCATTCACTGATTGTGTGACATGATTTCTGGTGTTTACTATTTCAGATTTTACCTCCACCAGATGTACAGCTGGCGAGGTTCTCTCCCATCCTGTAGGCTGTCTCTTCACTTGGACATTGTTTCCCTTCCTGTGCAGAGGTCATTTACTTCATGTAATCTTATTTGTCATCCCTTGAGATTAGTTACTGTGCTGCTGGAGTCCTGGCCAAATGTCCTTGCCTATGCCTTGAAGTCTTTTAACTATGTTTCAAGACATTCATTAGTTTTAATTTTTATCTGCTATTATGCCCTTGACATGGTAACAGACTATCTTCAAAACATCTTCCACTAAGTATTTCATAACACAGTGGCATAAGATTATGTACAAATGAATTGTTCAAGCAGAAAAGTTCAAAATGACAAAAAAAAATGGAAGAAGTCACATATGCAAGTAGTTACTTAAGTTTTCAGGATATTAAGGCAATATGTCTCAAAATATTATCAATTACAAACAACTTTTAATATTAGATAAAGGCCCTTCACCAAAAAAAATCTTCTTGTAACAGACAGAGATCATTACAGAAAACCACAATCAATCAAAATGCAGAGAGAAAGAGCCCACATGGTGTCCAGCCTCTATTGATACATCTGTATCCAAGTCCCAGGGATCATAGCAGAAGAGACAGAAAGATTGTAAGAGCCAGAGGAATGAGAAGTTTGCTTTGAGAGTGTGTCTCCTAGGTCTTCCCACATAGGCATGGATGACCTGGAACTCACTCTGGAGCTCAGACTGGGCTTGAACATGCAGCCATCTTCCTGTGCTTAGCTACAATTATAGCAGGGTGCCACTACGCCTGGCCATGGGGTGGACTGATTAATGACAAGGAGTGATTCAAGAGATTAATGTTACATTTGCTGTGACAGAGCTCTCATCGCTCAAATGACAATGACCTTACCTTCTGCTTTCTTCTTTCTTGCTTTATTAGAACCCTGGTCCTAAAAAGATAAATAGGAAGAAACATACAGTTACTAAAGAAACAGATCACTTCTAATACGATTGGCATTTTTGTTGAAAATCTGAAATTAAAATGTTTCTATTATTTTCTGGAAATATTTTAAAGCATTTATAGTAATATTTCCACATAAAATTATTAGGAAGTCCAAAATGCAATAAAAACTATTACAATAATTAATAACTTATACAAAATAAATATGAGATAAGCAAAAGGAAAGGAAAGCATTAGAAATACTATATTTCTGAACCATTTCTCATCTGAAAACAAAATTCTTGGTCAACAACTCCAGTTTCCTCTGCTTTTCTTTACATTTCAACATTCTGGTAATATCACTCTGGGACAGACAGAAGACATCTTCAGGTTCTAAGGAACAGTGGAGTGCATTGCTAAAGCAATTCCAATAGAATTAATGTATCAGTTATCTCAGCACTGAGCATTATGGCATACACCTGTAATTCCAGCAGTTGGGATGCTGAGGCAGGAATACCAGGCCTTTGAGGTCACTTTATCCTACAGAGTTGTTCAGATGTACTCTGAGCAATACAGCAGGAATATGACTCTAAACACATCGAGGTCTGGAATGTTACACCGGTAGAACACCTGCCTAGCACCCACACAGCACTGCAGAAGGCAGAAGGAAAAAAGAAAGCACTCCCTGCTCTATGTCAATTTAAGTTGCTGTAATAAAATACCACAGTTGGGTGGGTAGTCGAGGTTGGTGCACAAAAAAACTCTATCCCAAGGTATGCTACTTTGGAATGATAAGTACTTTGTGGAATGCAATACTCAGGAGAAATGTCTTCCTCTGACCTCTTGATTGCCTTCCTACTATTGTCATCTCTCCCACACAGTGGATCATAGAAAATAGAACCTACTTTATACAGTCAGCCATAAAGTCTAGAATTAAACTTAGAGTTTTATGTAAGAGCTGGCTATCTTTTCCTGATCTCTCTTATTTTATATAGATTGTAGAATTCAGTTTGGAAGGGATCTTGGCTCATACCTGTCAGGAAAGAATGCTACATAGAGAATCTAAAAATAGGCCTTGTGGGTTTCTACTCTCTATCTGTTATTACTAAGTCATTCTTTTCATGGCCAATCACTCATCCTCATGGACGCTGATTCTTCAGCAAGCCTGAATAGGAATTAACACTGTTCCCTGGAATTTTGGTCTTCATTTCTGAAGCGCCCCTATTCACAGGAAACTGAGTAAAATAAATGTGCTACACTGCTCTCTTCACAGTCTGGCTTATGTACAGGTCTATGGCGGCTGTGACCTTTATGATGAACATACTTTTCTGCCTAAACTGTAACAACAGAATTTCTCCCAGCTCTGGCAGCTGTACAGACTACAGTCAAAATGTCCAGATCCATACCTACCTAATAGAAGCCCATTTTCTAGTTCACAGATGAAGACTTTACGTATTTGGTTACATAGTAAAGGATAGCCTGGATCTCTGGATCGTCTTTTGTAAAAGCCGGAACCATAATCATAAAGGTCCCTGTCTTACAATTTAATCACATACCATAGATCCCAAACCTCCCCACATCATAACCTAGGGGTTAGGAAAATTCAAGTCCCAGTCCTAGATGGTGTCAGATAATGTAAGAACATTAATTGGGAGGTAGGTGTGTGAGAGGGCCCTACTGAAGCTGAGAACTTTGAACCCCAATTTTCAAGGGTTTCTCTCACCTGAAGCAGTAGTCTCTCTAGCTACTCAGCAGATAGACTCTCACCCTACTCCCTAAAATATTGTCTTTTCTTCCTTTGACTGGGGAAAATAGTCCTTTGCTGTCAGATAAACCAGAAGTGACTTTTTCTGAAGAAGTTGCCAGGCAAGACAATACTGATGTCCCTCAGAGCTCAGCAATAATTGCCTTTAGACCTAGAACCAGACTGAAGGCTAAGCAGGCTCCTAGAGGGCAGCTAGAAAGTGTAGTCCATGTGCAGGTGCACTACATGACTATAGAGTGCAAGGAGTTAGCTAATTCATTCAAGTAGAGCTTGGAAAATATATGTGGGAATGGATTTTAAGGGTGTGGGATATTGTTAGACAGAACATAAAACTGGATCAGGATGAGTTTATTGATATTGGCCCACTGAAAGGAGATTCTATGTTTTTATATGGAAATTCACACATTTAAAAAACGTCTCAAAAGTTTGTTTGGGTGGTCAGATGAAGCATTTGTCAAAAGGTGGACTACTGAAAAGGAGCTGGAGATGTCTGATACCTCATGGCTTAGTGTTGATGATCTTAAGGTTTGGGGAAATCGCCATGCCAGAGTGGGTACACTGTATAAGACCTAGTTTCCCCAATGGGAAAGCCCAAAAGACATGCCCTTCACTAATCCTATAAGACGCCAAAGGGTGACAGAGACACCTGTACATTTGAAGAGCTTTGTTGTCACCATTTTCTTTTTGCCAAACCTTAGGGTTGACGATGCTATTGTTCCTTTGGATAGGCTAAATGCAATGGGTTAAACTGAGGTAACGGGCCAAGTAGCACTGAATCACCAGAACTAAAGTGATCATAGTTATGGTAATAGGCAGCACAGGTAAAGCAATGTTCATAATGACCTGACTGTAATGGTCAGCACAGGCAAAGTGAATTTTATGATGGCCTGACTCATCTGCACCTTTAGTACTGGTTAATCAATCATGGTATTTCCAGAGACAACATATATTTTTAAAACCCTACTGTGTTTCTGTTGATCTATAGAAACAGAAAACTTCCCAAACAACTTAAAGAAAGTCTCCATTGGATTATAGCAAAAGGGAATCTTGGCCTGTGAACCAATTTCCAGACTGAAGCCATTTGAAGATCTAGAACCCCGTGAGTAAAGGGATGGCCAGGTTCCACTGAGGAAGGACCTTGATAAAACATGTAAGAATTTTATTGTTAGTCTTTCTCTAGTCCTTTCCCAGAAGGACCTAAGGCCTTTTCCAAAGGCAACTGTATACTAGGGAAAAGGAAATAAGCAGACTTTCTAGGGTCTATTGTGTACTGGTACAGAATTGAGGATGATTCTGAAAAACCCTGAGAAGCATTGTAGCCCTCCAATTAAATTAGATGCTTATGAAAGTCAGGTAACTAATAGAGTTTTGGATGAGGTCCAACTCACAGTGGGTTCAGAGGTCCCTAAATTCATTCTATAGCTATTTCCTCAGTTCCAGAATGCATAACTGGGACTTAGAAGTTGGCAGAATTCTCACATTGGTTCCCTGACCTCTGGGGTGAGGGTTATTATGGTTGGAAATGCCAAATGGAAGCCACTGGAGTTTCTTCTGTAAAAGAAAATAGTGACTCAAAGACAATATCATATCCCAGGAGGAACTGCAGGAGTTAATGGCACCAACAAGAATTTGAAAAATGAGAAATAAATCCAATCAAAATTCAAGGACCTACTACCTCAGTGAAATCCTGAGAAATCCAGTGGTGAGGGGCATGCAGAGAAATCCCTTCTAAGGTGAAGGGTACGTTATTGTATCTGGCCCCTCCCACCACCAAGAAAGAAGCACAACTGTTAGTGGGCCTATTTTGATTCTGGAGACAGCACATTCCTCCCTTGGGTGTTATTCTGACCCATATACCAAGTAACTCAGAAAGCTGCTAGCTTGGGGGATGGGGGGAGTTTGGAAACAGGAGGTTTCTCTTCAACAGTTCCAGGCTGCTGTGTAGTCTGCTCTACCACTTGGACCATATGATCCAGCAGACTCGGTGGTAGTTTAGGTGTCAGTAGAAGATAGGAATGCTATCTGGAGCTGTTGGCAGGACATGTGAATCATAGAACAATACTTTGAGCTTTTGGAGAAAGGCTCTATCATCATCTTCTGACAATTATTCTCCCTTTGAGAGACAGCTCTTGGCCTACTTTTGGGCCTTAGTGGAAACTAAACATTTGACAATGCGTACCAAGTTACCATAAACCTGAGCTGCCCATCATGAGCTAGGTATTATCTGACCCACCAAAGCACAAAATTGGATGTACACAATAACAGTTCATTTTCAAATGATTGGGCCCAAGTGGGTCCTGGAGGCACAAGAAAGTTATATGAAGAAGGTTCCCAAATGCCTATGGTTTCTACTCTTGTTACAATATACCTATAGGCTCATGGGATGAGAAGACTAGGGCCTGGTTTCCTGATGGTTCTGCATATTGTGTAGGCACTGCCCAGAGGTGGACAGCTACAATACTGAAGCCTGTTCTGGGACAACTCTGAAAGACACCAATGAAGTAAAATCTTCACAGTGGGCAGAACTTTGAGAAGAACACATGGTCTTAGATTTTGTATGGGAGGAGAAATAGCCATATGTGAGATTGTTCTCTGACTCATGAACTGTACCCAATGCCTTAGCTAGATGGTCAGGACTTGGAAAGAGCATGATGGAAAACTTGGTGAGAAAGACATCTGGGGAAGAAAGTAGATACATCTCTTCAAATGGGTGAAGAATGTGAAGCTACCTGTGCCCAGATAAGTGCTCATCAAAAGTGACTCAAACAGCAGATGAGTTCAGTAATTAAACAGATTGAATGACATGTTCTATGGAAAGTCGGTCTCTCTCCCCAGCCTTCCCTGCCATTCCCCAATGGACCCATGAACAAAGAAGCCATGGTGGCAAAGACGAAGATTATGCATGGTCTTAACAACATGGACTGCCAGTCACCAAAGCTGACCTGGCTACAGTTGCTACTAAAAGCCAGATCTGCCAACAGCAGAGATCAACACAGAGCCCCAGATATGGCACCATTCCTCGGGATGACCAGCCAGCAATCTGGTGGCAGGTTTACTCCATTGGACTACTTCCTCCATGGGAAGGACAATTCTTTGTCCTTTTTGGAGTAGAAACTCATTCTTGTTCATGGATTTGCCTTTGCTCTATGTAATACTTCTGCCAAAATTAACATCTGTGGACTTACAGAGTGCTTTATTCAATGTCATGGTATACCATGCAGTATGTCTTGTAACCAAAGAACTCA